AATTTATTGTATTTAAATTATCAAAGGAGAAATACAATACTTATTTTACATATTTGGGCTTGCTCTTCTGTATCGCACTGGAAGAAAGTGCATAAACATCTTATGCATCACTGGAATAATTTGTACAAATAAAATGTTCAGATCCTGCACTGACATTAGATTGCTACTCACATAGTAAATAATTATAGTTTTGGAGTAACGGCTAATTGTTCTCTTATAACCTGAAAGGAAAAGGTGACTAGAGTGGTGGGGTCTGCTCGGCTAGCTAATCCAGGCATGGTGAAGCAGCCAAGCATAGCCTAACGAAGCTCTATCAGGTACCATTTTTTATGCATTCATTTTTCATATCTATTTAAGCATCTGGAGCACTTAGTTTGCATCAGGTTTCTCACATTTTGAAGTCAAGGAAAATTCCTTAAGTATTAGAAGATTTACATACATACCTCTCAATTATTATGTATTTACGTATCTAACACTTAAGCATCAATTTTTACATATATGCCTCCTCACCTATGCATGAAAAGGTATATTTTAAAATAGTGGTATTTTTAATGAGATATGAAAGATTTGAGTGGTATAAATTTACAAAGCAAAATTTAGGTGTTAGATATGTAAATACATAAGAATTGGGTGGTATGTAAATGCCCGGAATACTACAGTATTTTATTTTTTGAAATGCTATTATGCAATCTAGAAAAGGGTAATCTAGGACCTGTATTTAGCTTCTTCTTTTTTTTTGCAGTAGTTGGTGGGTCCCAAAGCCGAATGTCAAAAGGGGGTTGCATTAGGTAGTCGACAGCCAGCACAAAACTTGTAAAAAAAAATCATGTCGTGAATCCATTTGATTGTTGTGTAAGTGCTAGGTCATCCCCTGGAAGCGACGCACTGTATGGTCTGAATACAGTGAAAAGTATGCAAGGGCCGCTACATCGGCCCCCAGGTGTAGTGTCAAACAAGCAAAAGTTCCCATATTACGGACGAATGCGCGTAAAGAAGTTAATTCAATAAACTAATATTAAGATAGGATCCAGGAATATAGGTATCCTTACTAGTAAATTAATAAAATTAGTTGATATTATAATTCATAGAAAGATAAATATCATTTGTGTTCAAGAAACTAAATGGGTCGGAGAAATGACTAACGAGATTGATAACTTAGGTTTTAAGCTTTGGTATTCAAGTAAAGAGTCGCACAAAAAATAGGGTAGGTGTAATTATAGATAAGAGTTTGAAAGATAATGTTGTAAAAATTAATAGAGTTGGAGATAGAATTCCAATCCTTAAGATTAGTTTTGATAATAAGATTTTTAATATTCAAGTAGGTTTAGATATAGGTTCTAAAGATAAATTCTAGAATGACTTAGAAGGCATAACACAAATGATACCTCTTGAAGAAAGAATTTTTTTAGAGGAAATTTAAATGGACATGTCTATAGAGTGATGGAAGATTTTAGAAATATTCATGGCTGCTATGGTTTTGGAGTTATTAATGAAGAAAATAGAGTTATATTAGATTTTGTTTTAACGTATGATTTTGTTATTGCCAATATTTTATTCAAGAAAAGAGATGAGCATATTATTACTCATAAGAATTGATCTAATAAAGCATAAATTGATTATTGTCTTATGAGAAGAAGGGATAATCGAGAATGTAAAGACTGTAAGGTCATTCCAAGTGGGGATTTAAATACTCAACATCGATTATTAATTTTAGATTTTAAGATGATGAGTTGTAAAATAAAGAGTACTAGGAATCATAATCGTAGAATTAGATGAGTGTACTTAAAGACACAAATAAAATTATTTTTATGAGTACAATTCAAGATTTCAAAATTGGGATGTTCATGAAGAAGAAATTTTATGTGGGATAAAATAACAAAAATTATTAAACAAGTCACAAAAGTTATACTTGGAGAATCAAAGGAAAAAATTTTTATAAATAAAAATAATTGGTGATGGAATAATAATAAGGTTGAAGAAAAGATAAAATATAAGAAGGTATGTTATAAAAGATGATTTAAATGCAAAAGCTTAGAAAACTGAGAAAAATATCAAACGACACATCGAGAGTCTAAGTGAACAATCTATGATGCTAAAAATTTTGTTTTTAGTGATTTTTATAATATATTAGATACTATATATTAGATACTACTTTATAATAGATTAAATACTAAGGAGGGTGAAAAATATATGTATAAACTAGCCAAACAAAGAGAAAAGAAAAGTAAATATTTAACACATGTAAAGTGTATTAAAGATGAAAATCAAAAAGTGTTTTACTTAGAAAAAAATATTCAAAATAGGTGGGTGAATTATTTTGATAAACTTTTTAATGAAGTTCTGAAAAATACGACCAACCTTCGTGACCTTAATATTGTTAATAATAATAAAATGTTTAATTTTTGCGGTCACATTTGTAAAAACAAAATTTGAGGAGGCTTTAAAGAAAACCAATGGTGGAAAGTCTGTAGGGTCTGATAATATCCCAAGTCTGATAATATCCCAATTAATATCCCAATTAAAGTTTGGAAATATTTAAGAGATTTGGGAGTTTCTTGGCTTACTAAAATCCTTAATATTATTTTAAAAATTTTAAAAATGCTGAGTGAAGGAAGAGTATTTTTGTCCCCTTTTTTAAGAATAAAAGAGATGCACAAGAATATATCAATTATAGAGAAATTAGTTGATATTTCAAAGTTGATGTGTCATACTTTGATGTGTCATACTTTAAAATTATGGGAGAGGGTAATTGAATTTAGGTTAAGACGTATTACAAAGATTTCTCATAGTTTATGTCGGGCGGGTCTACAATGAAGTTATACATTTATTGAGAGGTTTGATGGAGAAGTTCGAAGATAATAAGGAAGATCAACATATGATTTTTATTGATTTAGAAAAAACTTACGATGAGGTTCCAAGAGATATCCTTTGAAGAGTTCTTGAGATTCATGTCATTAAAAATTTGTATACAAGAACTATTACTTTTGTTCGAAAAGGAGGAGTCACCAAAGATTTTCCTATTTCTGTTGGTTTACATCAGGGATCGGCTTTAAGCCCATATCTTTTTGTTTTAATTATGGATTGTCATATTGGACACTTAAACGAGGATGTACTTTGGTGTATGTTTTTTACTGATGATATCCTTCTCGTGGATATCAGGAATCGGCTTTAAGTCCATATCTTTTTGTTTTAGTTATGGATGGTCATACTGGACACTTACAGGAGGATGTACTTTGGTGTATGGCTTTTGCTAATGATATCCTTTAAAGAGTTCTTGAGAAGGTGTTGATATGACTTATATTCATATCATTAAAAATATGTATACAAGAACTATTGCTTTTGTTCGAAAAGGAGGAGGATTCACCAAATATTTTCAAATTTCTATTGGTCTACATCAGGGATCGGCTTTAAGACGAGAGAAAAAGCTCAGAAAAAACTTGAATTATGGAGGTCTACCTTGGAGTCTAAAGGTCTTCGTTTGAGTAGAAGTAAAACTGAATACATGGAATGTATGAATACATGGAATGTAATTTTAGTAATAGTAACTTTAGTGACAGAAAGGTAAATATGGGTGATTAAATTTTTAAAAGTTGTGAACACTTTAGATATCTATGGTATATTGTTCAAAGTGATGGTGATGTTGATGGGGATGTTACTCGTAGAATTCAAGTTGGTTGGTTGAAGTGGAGGAATGTTTCAAGCTTTTTGTGTGATAGAAAAGTACCGCTTAGACTGAAAGGAAAATTTTATAAGATGGTGGAGAAACCTGCAATGCTTTATGACATTGAATGTTGGCCTTTAAAAGAGAAGCATAAAACTAAGTTAAGTGTTGGCAAAATGAGAATGATTTGGTGGATGAGTGACTTTATACTTAGAGACAAAATGCGAAATGAATATATCTGTGATAGGGTTGATTTAGCTCCAGTGACAGACAAAATTAGAGAGAGTCATCTTAAAGTGTGATAGAAAAGTACCGCTTAGACTGAAAGGAAAATTTTATAAGATGGTGGAGAAACCTGCAATGCTTTATGACATTGAATGGTGGCCTTTAAAAGAGAAGCATAAAACTAAGTTAAGTGCTGGCAAAATGAGAATGATTTGGTGGATGAGTGACTTTATACTTAGAGACAAAATGTGAAATGAATATATCTGTGATATGGTTGATGTAGCTCCAGTGACAGACAAAATTAGAGAGAGTCATCTTAAATGATTTGGTCACATTAAATGTCGATCATCTGATGATCCGATTAAAAGACTGGATGTTTTAGATTCGACTTATGTTAAGAAAGACAAAGGTAAACCTAGGATGACTTGGGCATATTGTATAAAAAATGATCTTAAGTTATTAGAATTAAATGAAAATATGACACTTAATAGGATGCAATGGACAAAGGATTCATGTAGCCGACTCCACTTAGTGAGATAAGGGTTTTGTTGTTGTTGTTGTTGTTGGTAGTAGTAGTTGGTGGAGATGGGCAACTGTGGGATTAATATTATTGTAAATATATTCAAAATATCTAAGACTTGTTGGTTAAAAATTGTTTGAGTTATATTTATGAAAAATAAAATAAATAAAAAAGACACTAAAAAATAAATTTTTAAAATTTAAAAAAGTAAACAAAACTAACTTTTAAAAAGCTCTAAATTGTGGTCATAAACTTGAAAATAGCATGGCATACCATACTCTTATACATTTATATTGAAAAAAACATGAGAATTTAATCAGCGGATAATTCATTACATCGAAAATTTCTTCTCTGCTTACAAAGGATTGGCTGATCTTAGGCATTAATCACCACCACAAGCCATTCTTTTTCACCTTTTGGGAGGAAAAATTTTATCATAGTTAACATTTACAACATTATATCATATCGTATAACATGATATACAGGATGTCACTTTTCAGCTCTCAATCTTGAATAGAATTCAAGGAATTATCAAAAGATTTCTGAGTTCATAAAACGGAAACTGTAAAGCATTAAGTTGCTGAATTTAAAATGTACACAGTGGCTATTATACAACCAAAGGTAGTAATCTAATAAAAATTTGTATAATTTAAAAACCTAGATATGTGCCTGAAACTATGAAGCAAAGTGGGTAAATTTTGCTCTGTGATCCACAGAATTTAGGTAACTTGGAAAAGACATTCTTTAATTCAATTGGTCACCGTAAGAGCAACTGGAAGAGGAAAAACATGTGTTTGGTAATTTTTTTCTTTAGTTTGATTAACTGGTGTAGCTCTGTTCTGATTTAGTAGAAGCTGATGAACAATAGCTTGAATAAGGTATGATTTGCCTTCCAAAAGGTGGCATGGATTTAAAAACACCTAACAGGAAAATAGTTCTCATTTAGAGCATATCTAAGAACCTCCACGGAACCTACGGACGGATGACAAATTAGAACGATACTATACCTATTCAAGTACAAAAAAACTCCTCCAAATATCCTTTCTAATCCTTAGTTTCATTTTTTTTTTGGTATTTACATAAATACCACACAATTATTATGTATTTATAAATCTAACACCTAAACATTCATATTTACATGCATGCCACTCAAATCTTTTAACATCACATCAAAAATATCATCATCACTAGTTTTTAATAAGTGAAATACATATTTTCAAGCATAAATTTATAACATCTTGTTGAATCCTAATTTGTCTGTGACTCACACCCCAAAGAATAGAGCGTAAGAAAAATAAAACGAGCAGTAAGCGGTAATGAACAGTAAACTATATCAAATGTGTTGACATTTCCCGACCATTTTAGTTAAAATTATGTATGCCTTGTTCATGAAATGATGTCCCTATTTATAGGGGAGAGAATATAATACGACGATATTACATGTTTGCCCCAAGTTTAATAGGGGTTGTACAAGGAATTATAGGTATTTTTTACGTATGAGCCTATCGATCTGCTATTATCTGGCTTGTTAGGTTGAGCTCGTAAGTCTTCGACTCGGTGGGGCTAGTTTGGTCAGTTGGGTTTAATCGATGTGTGGGTTGGCGGAGATAGATTGGCTTCGAGACGATCAGACGGGCTCGGTTGGCTAAGTTTGTCGGTTTGTCGAGGAGCTTTTAAAAACCCCCAATATGATTGGGGATTCCGAGGGGCTAGATCCTCACTTTAGTTAGCTTCTTCATATCGGTCTGCTTGGTTTTCTATGTCTAGCTTCTAATTGAATCCGTCTTTGTGACTTGGTTGGCTTTTGCTTACTTGCCCTAGCTCGGATGGATGCATCTGATCGAATAAGTGAAACTCCTGGTCTTTTGTCGGTGGGTATCGTAGTCACTTCCTTCTGAACTGTTAGATCTCCTTGAGATGAGTTTCGACACATTTTCGATGTACATATTTTAGTTCCTCAATTTTCATACTTCTTAAAAGCGATTGCGATAAAAATATGATCATTTAATGAAAAAAGTAGATAATATTTATTTCTTAATCAATGATTCAATAATTGTACTCCATTGATTTTTGTGTCTTTTGTTCTTATAAATAGGGCATGATGAGACTCTTTGACAATCCATATTTGCTTTGCATCTCTTCTCGTCTTGATTGGCTTCCAAGCATTGTCATGGAGCGCGTGTTGAATCTCTCGATCGATCGCCCAACAAAGAAATGCTTCTAAGCGCATTTCGAAGACCGAAGGAGCATCGCCCGAAAGGTGAATACAGAAGAAAACCACTTTCAAGAAGAAAAAAATAGTCTTGCCAGTGGATCAGGAGGGGTAATTGTCCTATGTGGAGGAAAGTTTGGGCGACAAACCTTGCCATTGATGCATCGGCTCAGTGTTCTACAATAACACAAGACTTGTCGACTGAACAGATCGTGCAAGAAGCTGATGGTGCTCTGCCGCCACCTGAGACGCAATAAACTGCTGGTGCTTTGCCGTCTTCTGGGACACAAGAGGTTGTTGGTGCTCTCCCGCCGCCTGGTGAGGGCTCCGTGTTGGTTACATCGTCTGAGTGAGATCAACTCCTTGATATGAAAAGTCTCAATCTTACTTGTTAGTTTTTTATTTTCTCAGGGTCTCCTTTTTTTACGTTGTTTTCGATGCAGCTGGTCCTCTGGACCTGGATGATGACTCACCTTCGACAAACATTGGTTCGACCATAGTACCAGTGGCAGCTATCCAGACACTAGTCGGGGAGCAGTTGTCTCTCGAGCAAGGATGGTGCGATTAACCCTCACGTGGCCCTCGGAGAAGCAACTAATGGGCGTCGAATGTCTCTCGGGTTGCTAGTCTGCCGCCTAGACGAGATCGAGAACTCTTACGCTCGGTCAATCGAGGATCAAAGAGAGGAAGAGATACACGAGCTACTGGCTCGTGTTGAGAGAAGAAAGAAGATGGAGGAGATGACCGTTCTTCGGCAAAAATTGTCGGATGTTCGGGATATGTGTCTTATATTTCGGGATCAAGCCGGCCGGATAAATCGGGCACAGTCCAAAATTGAGAGAGAAGTTTTGTATAAAATGTTGCATCAATTGGGCAATATCTTGGTCGATGCAAAGGAAAATCCCTTGATAAAGTATTTCCTCAAACAAGTTTTTATGCGTAATTGGTATTGTGTATTTTTTGAATAAATTTAATTTTTCTTTCTCAAATACTATGTTGATGTGATTTTTATACCAGCATATTTTTGAAATTAGCATATGATTCATTTTTAACCCATGTGTGACGGTTTCACTTCTTTTATTACCCTATATATAAGGGTGAGGAGTTGAATGGACACTACGCTTTTACTGTCATTTTCTCATTGTTTCCTCAGCTTTCTATTCTTTGCGCCTAGTTTTGATGGCTTCAAAATACTCTCTGAAAGCTTTTGGGCTGATCGTCACAACCAAACAATCAATGATGACCAAAGTGAAGGTGGACCGACCACAAAACTTTTGAGTCTATGTTCATCCATCAGGCTTTTGGTCGCCGATGAGCGCGACCAAGCGACCACTCAATATGGCTCTGACCTCATTTTCTACGAGGACCAATTCCACTTCGGCTTCAGGGTACCCTCTATGTCCTAAGTTGTGAGCTATCTTCAACCATTATGGAGTCATCCCCGCTCAGATTTTGCCTAGTTCCTTCGTCGCCATTATGACCTTTGTCATCCTCTTACTCCAGTCAGAAATTTTAATTGGCGGAGCTCTTCACATACATATTCTCATTCCAAGTCGATCCAGGAGGTTTCGTGCAATTTGCCTCTATGGGTTGGTTCAGGATGGTGAATAAGGTGAAGCACTGGAAGCTTCGATTCTGCATTAGTTCTCCATCGAGCTAGAGCATCCAGAATGTTTCGTCCAGGAGACCTCCCGCCAAATATAAGAAGTTATCAGCTTGTGTATTAATGGAAGCAACAAGGATCAAAGGTCCACAACTATCAATCCACTAGTATCTCGATCCAATGATTGTCAATTGGGTGCAGCAACCATGGGTGTTCTGGCAAATTACAAAGGTAGATTGAGCAGCCTCCAACACTCAGGAGGCCAACCAAAAACCATTATTTGTTGCCCGAGCCACAAAAGAGAAGGCTCGAGCGACTGCTTGCGTTAAAATCTTCCACCCCAAAGCTGCCAATATAGTAGGTCGGAATATACCTCAGGTGATTCATGCCGACGAAGACCTTGAAGGTGCAAAACTGATTTATTCTATGTTTAAGTCTTCTGTTATTTTTCAAACGAACACCATTGGCGAGCTAGTCCTCATAGAGAGATAAGCTTCTGTGATACCTACTAAAAGCTCTCTATCAATTGCAAGTCCTTCAAGCGCGCAACACCAAGAAGCTGAGAGAACGCCAAGTCAGTTGGAATCGAGCAATGCCTAGGGGGAGGACTTGGCAAAAAGACTGAAAGTGGGATCAATTACCCCTCGGCCGGTGGCTCGAACATTTATTAAGCTATTAATGAGTGTTAAAGCCATTCTCTCTTCTCCCTTTTTCTCGAGCGAGCCCAAGTCTGAGCCCGAGCCAACCAACCACGAAGAGGAGGTACGCTGCCGTAAGGGAAAAGGCTCCAACCACCGATCAAAGTTTCGCCACCTTCCCCTCCCCGGAATAAGCGGAAGTCCCCCCCCCCCCCCCCCCCCCCCCCCCCTACTTGCATGGGTTCCAATTCAAAGCGAAAGTGCGAAGGTGGGCACTAGTTCTAATTGTGAGGAAGTACTAGTACTCGGATTCCACTACGATACCTTTATACCCTTCTACCATCGTCGACGTTATTTGATATCGAGCTTTCGAAAAAATATTTCAAGAGCAAAATCTCTCAGATATGTGCTAGATGGCCGACCGATATCAATTGATTGTCTGGGAGGCTGGAGGCCGATGAAAAATTTGCCAATGCCAAGGAAAGTGTGAATGTTGTGGAGAAACGGACAAAGGTGTTTGAAGTTGAAATGCTCAGGCTGTCAGAGTAGTTGTCGTCTGCTCAGGGAGAGAACCAAACCTTGAGGAAGAAGATGGCGATGATGAAGACATCTGATGGGTTCTTCGCCGAGATTTCTTTCCACCCTCCACAGGTGAAACACCTCCTTGCGCAACTCGGGGTAGGAGTATCTTTAGATGTTGACCGGATGATAAAGGCAAAGTTGCTCTCCCTCGAGTGGGTCGATTTGTATAAATTAACTGCCTTACATTCGAACTTAGAGTAGGACGAAAAAGAGGACAACGATAAAGACAATGAAGGGTCTTCAAATGTTTGACTCGCATTCGACATAACCTGTACTTAGAGAAAATTTTTCTTTTCTTTTTAAATAATTATAAAGAAATGTATAAGAAATTCTTTGTTAAAAAACACAGAAAATTCTTTGTAAGTTTTCAATCAAGAAATAAAACAAAGCTTTCGGTTGGTTTTCACCTTTGTAAGTTTTTACCTTTATTGCATATTTTATTTTTCTTGTAAAAATGGATTAACTTTTTAAGAATGCCTTCGATTGGTTTTTTTGAGTTACCAACCGCCTAAAGTCTTGCACTTTGCATGTCTGGATTGCTCGGTTAGGTCGTCGTTTTGGACGTGCTGCACCTTTAGCCAGTAGTATTAAGCGGAACTTGGTATAGTCTTCACGAAGTTAACTGTCGAGACTTGCTACTAGAGTGAATCGTATGTTACCCACCGTGGATCTTATCTAAAATGAGTAGGAAATCACTGCCACCTTCTTAGAACTAGGAGACAAGTTTTTACGATACATGACCATTGTTGGTCGGTTCTTGTGGAATTTAATAATCGGATGACATTCGTCTTTGTAGATCAATTTTAGATGATTTTTTTTTCGATCGGATGCTTAGTCGTCGCTGCCAATTATGAAAAATCTTCATCGATAGGGTGTCGTGTGTCGTTGTCAATTTTGCCGCTCAGGTGAAATTACTATTGGTGGAACTGTTCGAATTCTTTGAGTGTCGATCAAACTTTAATGATCACTTGCATGAGCTTCCCAAGTTCTCCATGTGTCGGTCGTACCTAGGATTGTGCGCATATTTTTAAAAAAAAATTACTTAGCCATTTTTATGAACTTGACAATAAAATACAAGGGTTGGAATGATAATGTATTCTCATTACTAGGTCAGGTGTTGATCAAGATATCAAGCTCAACTCCCTCAGTGGTACGCTCTATTAGTCGCTCGGTTATTCGAGTGTCTTTGTGAGTCTTTGGAGCGAGTTCAAGCCAGAGTGGTGAGTATTGTGCCCGGCTCCCCACTCTCTACGGACGATTCTCTTTGGTGATGTTGGTTGGCTTGCTCTGTCTGAATAATTGGGGGAGGAATCGTATTCTCATGTCGATATATAGCTATTGGCTAGTTCCAATAGCTCGGCAAGCGCCTTTGGTCGCTACAGTCCCAATGTATATCAAAAGGGCTCTTCCTTCAACCCTTGAACTAAAGCGACATGAGCTACTGCAAACTCCAAGTCCAACATTTCCAACTCCTAAAAACGTATGATGAACAAGTAAATGCTCTCGTTATGTCCTTGCCAGATTTGAAAGAAGCTCTGTCGGTTTTTCTGAGGCTTTTAGACGTTGTCAAATTGCGCCACTAGCATTCGGTTGAAATCCCATAACTTCCGGCGGTAACACATTGAACAGCCTAAGGGTCGACCACCTAAGCATAGCGAGAAAGAGATGATATTTTCGCGTGTCGGTGATCCTCATCAAACACATAGATGACTTGAATGAGGCTATATGGTCGGTCAAGTCGGTCTTGCCCTTGTAGGACTCGTCAGAATTTTAAACCTCTCCGGGGGCTCGGCCTCAAAGAGTCGTCGATAGAAAACATTCTTACATCTCAATACCCCTGAACTGATGTTGGTCGATCGATGTCGACCCAACACTCTCGAAGCACTAAGAGTCACCTTCTCTTTCCAGAGCCTGGGTGCTCTTCAGCTGTTGGGTATTGGCCCTTCCTCCCAAGGGTACTGCTCTCTTCCTCGATCCAGCGCATCTTAGATGTCATCTGGTGCACTCCATCTTGTCGGTCTCTTTGATGTGAATTTCTTCTTTATTGGTTGCTACTCTGCTAATTTGTGGCGTGATTCACACTAATCGCAGCTTTTATGATGTTGAATCCTGATTTGTTCGTCAATCACACCTCAAGGAATGGGGTAAAAAAGAAAGATAGAGAGATAGCGAAACAAAGAGAGTGAACAATTGATATTTTATCAATCGTGTTGACTTTTCACAACATTTTTGGCTAAAATTATGTATTTATTGTTCATAAAATGATCTCCCTATTTATAGAAAAGAGAGTACAATATGCTGATGTATATTTTTGTCCCTACTTTAAAGAAAGTTGTACAAGATATTCTAAGTATTTTACAAGTATGAGCATATCACTTGGCTGCTATATGACTCATTCAGCTAAGCTCGTATGGCTTCGTCTCGGTAGGGCTAATTTGATTGACTAAGCTTAATCAAAATTGTCGGTCGGCTGAGATCGATTGGTTTCGTTTTGGGTAGAACTTGAAGGTTATCGATCTTTGATAATAGATGTGAGAGCTTTTGCGCACCCCCTGTGCCGAGGGGCTTCATCTTCCCTCAAGTCTGCTTCATCTCGGGTGGCTTGATGTCTCTTTGTCTCGTTTCTAACCGAATGACTCAGATTTGGTCGTTTTTGTGACTCAGTCGGCCTTTGGCCTTGCTTTGGCTACATCCCATCAAATAAATGGGCCCTCACAGTCTTCTGACAATGAATCATTCTTAATCGTACCCTCTTCCTTCTGGTTCGTTACATCTCCTCGGGATCAGTGTAGGCACATTTTTCATGTACACATTTAAATGTTACAATTGTAAATATCAAAGTTGGAGTGTTATGCACAAATGCATAAGAATTGTGTCGAATATATGTAAATTTCCCAATTTTTATTTTAACATTATTTCATAATACAATTTTCTTAAATTTTTCATTTCATGGCATCCCCATCGCAAAGTTCCCAAACCGACCCATCTATAAACTTCCATCAGAAGTTCTACTAAACCAATAAGTTAATCACTATTAAACTAATAAGATTAATATCAAACCAATCAAATTATTTGATTAAAATAATACAGTAGAAGCACACGTGGCTTTCCTACAAATCAAGATAAACAACGGCCTATTTTTCTGTCATAACTTCCCGAATAAAAAACATGCAATAGAGCTCAACATACCGTGCCCTGCAGCCTTCATGTTTCTTGGGATGAAGCAATATTGACTTCACGGTATGTTCCCAACTGCTCGTCAAAAGAGTACCTGTAAAAAGGTAGAGGAAGGTTTACATGTATGCCAGTCAATTCCTACGTATTTAAATATTTATTTAACACCTAACCTTTAACTTTTACAATGTGTATTTCACTGTTTAATGTGGTATAAATGTAAGAAAATGTAAGAAAATAAAGTCTAGGTGTTAGATATCTCTGTTTATATTGGATGCAATATAAAAGATGTGGTATAAATGTAAGAAAATAAAGTCTAGGTGTTAGATATCTAAATACATAGGACCGGTTGGGTGTGCATGTAAATGCCCCATAAGTAAAATGAAAAAAAATAAAAAAACAGGCTTTGACACATTCGGGATAAATTTTAATCTCAGAAAAATCTGATCAATCATTAGTTATATAGTGGGTCACAAAATTAATAGATTTGTTTTGAAATTGGTACAACACGTGTGTATAATTCAAAACTTAAAATGCACTAATCACAAAGCAAATCCAATGAATTTGAAATCAGCACAAAATTACCATATTCCTGAGGCGGCACAGCAATAAAGCTTCGACGTAGGGTCATAATAATAGCCCAGAGAGTCACTGTAATAGTAACTGTAAGAAAAATGAGAAGCGAGTTAACTTACTGCTATCAAGTATGCAATCTTTGTGGGTGTGTATGATCGTGTGTTCTTTCTTTATAGCACTCAAAACTTTGTTATTTGCAAAACTAGCACCAATGTCTTTGTTCTATTTTATTTTGAACAGCTAAATCAGTGCATTTATGCCTACAACGATCAAACAAATGGGAATTTGATAACAATGAAAAATGAGTTGGGGATTAATTGTGAATTTTGATATTTCAGTAAGAATTTTCAAGAATGAATGAAAGAGGGTGCTAGTTTTGAAAATAGCAAAGTTGAGTGCCATGTATTTAATTATCTCTTCTTTATAGCAAACTAACTAAAGAAAAATCATATAATTCATGGAACACAATAAAATACAGAAACAAAACTGCTTTCTAATCATCAGAAATAGGTTATACAACCATAATTAACAGAAATTACAATAAGAAAGTGCAAAATGTTTTTGGCCTTTTAAATTCATCTGACTTCCAAATTTCAGAACAAATTTTCCGCATACAACAGCAGCAGCTAAAGAACATGAAATGTAAATTAATGTTATGCTCCAAGGGTTTCAAAAGCATGGAAAAATTACAGATGCGGTGTAACACTTTCCCATTCACACTTCCCACGCAAATTAAATTGAGATACGATATGCAGAAAATGAAAAGCAAAGAAAACGTGCTACTGAACAAAACAAAGAAAGAAAATAAAAGAAGGAATGAAAAAGGAAAAAGAAAACTTGAAACGCGAAAAGAAATTGATCAGATCTCATAAACATAACAAAGTTGCAATTAGTTGAGGACTTCTAAAGATTTGCAACGAGATTATAATAAAAATTAAAAAACAAAAGGCAAATTTTAATGGGTTTGAGTCAACCAATCTGATTGTGGAAGAATATAATAAGAAACAATTAAATAAAAGAGAAGGTAAGAGTAATATATATTGAAAATAAATGTAGAAATATCGTCCGTTTGTAAAGCACATGCACATTCAGAGCATCAAAATTTTTTATGTTGAAATCAATGAAAGATGCCAAATATCCATCCAATGAAAGCCGTAGTTGAAATCAAATTCGGATTATCTTTTGTAGTTCAAATTGGACAAATGCCATTCTTTAACAAAAGTTACAAGAAGGAACTACGCCAATGCGTCTGAAACGTTAAAAATGCACAAAAAAAAGCTCATGATAGCAAATCAACGCATAATGAATACAATGAACTACTGACAGAATCTCAAGCAAATGAGACTAAAATTGCCGTAATTGCAATCGAAATCTCTCATGTCACTTGTTCACTAAACGGACGGCACTAACAAATCTGAAATATTGAAAATAAGCAAAGATAACATCCTTATTCTCACAAAAGTGAAACAAAATTGCCTAGCACGATATGATGGCGCACATTTTAAAAAACACGAGAGACAAGAAAATGCATGGAAGGATTAATACTGCAAATAATTTCATTTAGACATAAATAAATATAATTTTAATAAATGCATTATTTTAAAAAAATAGAGGAAAGAAATGTTTTTAGAATCGTAAATTCATTGACAAATCTCATTAAAATTATGTTGGATCCTTCCAGTCGCTGCAAATATCCCTTCAGCAAAAGATCCCATTCTTTTTAATTACACACACAAAATAAAACAAAATACAATAATAATAATAATAGTTTTAAAACTACCTGAACCTACCACTTGCTCTCCCCCCATCTTTCATTTCATCCAAAACAAAGGCACAAAGGTACACCACTCTTCCCCACTCTCAACCCTAGGCTGCATGCCACAAACGTCACCAGATTCACAACAAATACATGCAAGCAGACAAAAATTGTTCTTGAAAAAATTCAAAAGTTAGAAGCTTGTATGTATCCTAATGATACAATATTTGTGCAAATAACAAAATTCAGATATATTAAGGTCATGGGCAAACAACACTATATGCAAATGTAAGAAAATTCATGGAAGTCCAAGTGCATCTAGAGATATATAAATCATCAAGTATTGAATGATCGGACGAGCTCTGTGACCTAAATAAAAATGAGAAAAGATCAAGTATTGCACCCTCCGCTCCTCCCTCTATAAATTTTCCAACCTACCTCTTTAAGTTTTCCAATCTACCACCCATTTTCCTAGACTTTAAGTTTTCCAATCTTCCACTACATGCCTTCACCACACCTCACCCTCCCCACAAACACACGTTTGGAATATTTCTCTAGTGTCGACCTATAAGTAGTCATTTGTAACAAAAAAAACCTTCCTCTCAAGTTCACCATAAGTAATATATAGCAAGCTACAAAATGTTTACCCTGATGATGGATCATATACATAATCAGATTCTGATCCTCCGGTTACAGCTTCTGCGCATTGACAGGCAAAAGAGAGTTAACAAAAAAATAAATAAATACAGTTATGAGCATTCAATGGTACACCAGGAGCTCTTCATAAGTAAGAATTCTAGCTTTTCAATAAAAGAAAGGGGCTTATGTATTTACAAATCTAACACCCAAGTTTTAATAATTACATGCATAGCACTCTAATCTTTAATATCACATCAAAAGTACCACTATGACATATTTTTTAATAGTGAAATACACCTTTTCATATCTAGGTTTGTCACACCAAATTGTTATAAATGTAAACATGGAATTTAGGTGTTAGATGTGTAAATACACAAGAATCGTGTGGTATCTATGTAAATTTAGCAAAAAGAACGAACTTGTAGAATCAAAATTTTCTGATGTCTCGTGTCTCTCAGCTGCAGAATGAGTTGTTTGACCAGAATCAGAAGTAGAACCCAAAGAGGCTTCCTCTGACTGCAGAATTCCATTACCATCATCATCTTCATCATCCCCAAACATGTCAAATTTATCTTCATCCTTGCTAGCTTCAAAATTGTCAAATCCACATGTCAAAGTTATTGCTTACAAAAGTAAGATGATGTAAAAACTTAAACAAGAGAAACAACAATAATAGCAGAACAGTTGTTGCAGAAGCCAAGGCAGCATTAGTACAAATGTATTAATAATTGTGATACGAAGTAGCTACGAGAGGCAACAAAACCAGACCACAAGACATACAAGTATTGATATTGAAGTTGCAAATAGTTACAGCAACCAATGAAAGGACAAGTCCAAATATGATATGTGTTGAGCTCTATAATGCGTAAAGATAGTAGCAATGTGTTTATAATAGTCATACTAATAACCATAGAGAAAAAAATGATGGTGTGATACCGTAGTTAACCCAAACCGCAATAGAAAATGGAGATACTATTGCTGAAATACAAACAAGTTACAACGACGACTCCTCAAAATAGAAAATAAACCATAACCAACACATAAAAGATACCCTAGGGCAACGACAAAGGGGGTGGGAGGCAGCTGGACAGTAGGTAAATGACTGGTTTGGTGAAGGCGGCAAAAAGGAAGATGTAGGGAAGGCTGGCAGCAGCTGGGAGGGAGTGCGGTGGTCAGGAAGGCTGTTGAGAGGAGGTTCGGCAGCAGGGGAAGGCTGTGGGAGGAGTTTCAGCAGCAGGGGAATGCTGCTGGAAGGAGGTTCAGCCGCAGGGGATGATGGCAGGGAGGAGTGCGGCAGCAGGGAAGGCTGTTGGGAGGAAGGCGGCAGCAAGGTAAGAGGGAACAAGTGGGGATAGTCACCACCTCCGAGGAGTTACAGCCGGAGCACATTCTCGCCGTCGGATACAACCCTCGGAAGAGAGAAACGCCTGTAGGCAAAATTCTGAAATCAGAGATAACCGAACAAAACCATAAGCAAGCCAAAATAGAAAATACATAATAGCTAGGGAATAGAATAGGAAGGGAGGGCTCCTCCCCTTGGGCGGCAAACAGAATTGGCAAGAAAGGAGGAGGGAGCGGCAAATAGAAAAGGCAAGGGAGGCATTTTGGCAGTGCTTCACGCCTCATGGGAGAGGGAGGCGAGCCAGTCTAGCCTCCTGTTGTACCAAAGCCTATTGGCTGGCTTAGCCAAAAGGCCCTAAGCCCCGTGTCAGTCTCTCGAGGTTGCGGGAGCTTCGACTTCATCCTTCGAAGCTTTTGCATCTTTGAAATGTGACATCAGGTCCGCAACATTGAACGTAGTTGAAATATTGTAGTCCCCTGGCAGATCGATCTTGTAGGCACTATCATTCAGCTTCAGGAGTATTCCGAAAGGTCCATCTGGTCTGGGCTTGAGTTTCTCGAATGCTCCTACTTGAGGTCACTCTTTCAGCCGAATCCACACGAGGTCTCCTTGAAATGTCACATTCTTTTCGAACTCATTCGTCTGTACTTGATATTTGTGATTTTGCTTAGTAATCTCCTTTACAACTTGCTCGTGGAAATTATCAATCTCTTGAGCCCGTTCGTTAGCATCCTCATTGATCTTTGATGTCGCCCGTACATAATCTTAAACGGAGTGCGTCGGTAATTTGACTCACGGATCTGTTTTAAGCAAACTCGGCTTAAGCTAGAATTAGATCACACTGCTTAAATGTTCTTTCCCATAAAGAATCTTAGAAGATTTCACAGGCTCATGTTTACTATCTCTGTCTGATCATTCGTCTGTGGATGAGCTGTTGAACTGAATTGGAGTTTGATGTCTAACTTCCCCCACAATATCCTCCAGAAGTGGCCAAAAATTTGACATCTCTGTCAAAGATGATGGTCCCTGGGATTCAATGGAATCTCACAATCTCTCAGAAGTACAAGTAAGAGACACGAGATGCGTCCAATTTTCGGTGGTAGGGTACAAAATGTGTTATCTTCGAGAATCGGTCCACAACAACCATCACAAAATCCTTGTTCCTCTGCATTCTCTGGAAACCCACCACAAAGTTCATGCTGACATCTACCCACGATGCCTCAGGTAATAGTAAGGAAGTGCACCACCTTGCATTCTGCCCACTGGTATTTGTCATATGGGAAATCCTGCATTGCCTTATGCGCCGTTCCACATCTCTCATCAGTTAGGGCCAAAATAAATTCTCTCACGAGTAAAAAGAGTTTTGTCCCTGCCAAAATGTCCCGCTATACCTCTGTTGTAGCTCTCCTGAACAATGACTTCCTTCAGCGAGCACCTGAGAATGCACAACTTACTCTGCTAGAACAAATACTCATTGACTCTGTGGTACTGCTCAGTCGGTTTCTCCTGACATCGCTCCCAGATCTCCTTGAAGCCTTCGTCTGCCTAGTATAAGTCCTTTACTATCTCAAACCCGACAACACAAGTCTGCATCGACGCGATCGACATGTGACGACTGCTCAATGTGTATGCTACTCAGTTCTGGATCCCAGCCTTGTGCTTAAGCAAGATTTGGAATAATGCTAAAAACTCACACAAGCGGCGTGTCGTCCCTTCAATTTAGAAATTTCAAGGCTTTCTGTAAATAGTGTGAACTCGCTCATTAGCAAGTAGTAGCTCCACTGCTCAAGAGCTCTTACAATCGTATAAAACTCTTTATCGTATGTTGAGTACTTCCTAATAGAATCATTCAACTTTTCACTGAAAAAGGCGATGAGGTGACCTCCCTAGCTCAGCACTGCCCCTACTCCCACGTCGGATGCACAAACTTTAGTTCAAACAGTTGATTGAAATCTAGAGCTATAACTAATGTCTGAGTCAACTTCTCCTTCAAGGTGTCGAAGCCGGTCTGAGCTAAAACTGTCTAAGCGAACTCCTTTCCTTTCAAATGCTCCGTCAGAGGGGCGGTGATAGTGTTGAAGTTCCTGATGAATCGCCGGTAATGCTCGCCACAAAAACCGCCTCAGCTCAATGAGCACTTGCACTGCAGTCCAAGTTATAACGACCTCGATCTTTGTAGAGACCATCTGAATGTCTGCACTAGACACAATACAACCCAAAAAACATACATAATTCATCATGAAGTGGCACTTCTTCAGATAGGCATATAATTTCTCTACTCGCAATACCTTGAACACTTCCCTCAAGTGTTGTAAGTGCTCCTCCTCATATCGGTTGAATATCAGAATGTCGTCAAATTATACCACCACAAATTTACCAATGGGGACCTGAAATACCTAATTCATCAACCTCATAAAGGCGCTGGACACGTTTTAAAAGTCAAAGGGCATAACTGTCCACTCATATAGACAATCTCATGTTTGGAAAGGGGTCTGCCACTCGTCTCCGGGCCTCATCAGCATCTTGTGGTACCCGCTGTGTAAGTCGATCTTGGAAAAAATGGTGATTCTATGCAACTCGTCCAAAAGATCGTCCAGGTGAAGTATAGGAAACTGGTGCTTGATGGCGATCTTGTTGATGGCTCTGTTGTCGATGAACATCCGTGATGACCTGTCCTTCTTGAGTACCATCAAGGCGAGAATAACTCATGGACTGGTACTCTCTCCTCTCGCGATGAGATCATGTACTATTGTTGTAGCTCATCGCACTCCACAGGTCTCAATCTATAAGAGGACCAATTTAGCAACATTGATCCTGGTATAAAATTAATGACGTGTTGAATATCCATCAGTGAACGTAATCCCTCTGAAATATTGTTGGCCATCACATCATGGAATTCTTAGTAGTGATTGTAATAATGTCGGTTTCTCCCTCTCCTCAGTTCCCTCTAGAACTAATGTCAATGTCACTGGAGCGTCTTGAACTGACTGCACGAAGGTGACCCGTATGAATAATGCTTCCTCTGTTGCATCCTTAATAGGTAACAACACGATGAGTTTTCTATCCTTCTTAAAGGAGCAAGTATTTTTGAAGTCGTTGTGCCAAGTCTTGAGGTCAAACAATCAAGGTCTATCCAACAAAATGTGGCACGCATTCATCGAAAACACATCGCACCATAGTTGCTCCTCCAGCTGATCCCCAATCAAAAACTGGACCAAGAACTGTTGATCCACGTGTATCTCGCTTTCCTTTTTCAACCAAGGGAATGTGGTTGGAAATGTTTCTACATGGCCAATCCCAATTTCTTCACCATCAAAGTTAACACCACATTTTCACAACTCACACTATCAATGATCAAGTTGCAAACATTGCCCATTATCGTGCAATTGGTACGAAAGATACTATCTCAACCAGAATTGATCTCGCTTTGGATCTGACTGCAAAACTCTTCAGATGACTAGCAATTATATCTCATCTCCCTATAGTTGAAGTTCCTCCTCTAGACTATCCTCTGACTCCTCATCCTCCACTTTCTCGATGGTGCACTAATCAGTGAACGTGACAACTTGACTCTTGGGACAACTAAGGCTTTGTGCCCAAAGTTGTGGCACCTGAAACACTTACTGGCTAGTACTGTATTGGACAAGTTACCTTACCTTTTTCATGTTTCTTCCTACTGTGATTTGGCCTATCATTTCCTTAAACTGTCTTGCTGGCTCCTCCAAAGATATCTTTGTTCGTCGCGGAAGTTGTAGGTGATTACCTGACTAAAGGCCACTGCATAAAAGACGATTGTTGTCTGCTCTGTTTTTGTTATCTATCCACCTTTGAAGCTAGAAGTTTGAACATCCCCCAACGTCCAGTATAATTGTAATTGCAACACATTGCTAATAGCGGGCTTCAACCCCCCAGGTATTGGGTGGTGGTGTGCTCTTTTGGTTCGTTCAGCTCACACTTCATCTATAGCTGATCAAACTGTGCCATGAAATCCTCCACTGATAATCTCTCAGCGGCAAGTGGTGGTCTTAAAAACATGCCATGTCATTAGTGAGATGAAAGGTATTTCCTCTGCATTACTTTCATATTTTCCCACTTGACGACCTTATCACTGCATTCTCTTTTCTTCTCTCTGCAGATTTTTCAACCAGAAAGTTCTTTTCAACTTGATAGTTGCTAACTTTATCAGCTTATACTCTGGATCCTCATTGTATTAGAATATCTGCTCCACAGATTGCAGTCAGTCAA